TGACCTGAGGAAAGTCATTTAGTTCCTGTGTCCCACTTCTCCTCTGTAAGAGGGGAGTAAAAGCACGGCCCTACATCACACTGTTGTGAAGATAAACCCATTAAAGATAGCAAGGGCCTCAGACACTATAGTAATGAGGGTCCATATACATACCATACATAGACAGAATCATTGGGCGAAAGACTGAAAACGAAAAATAACTAGAAATCAGTGATTAAATATCCTCCTTTCGTTGGCTCCTGCTGACCCTTCTTCCACCCCCACTGGGGTCCCCTTCTCCTTCAAAGAAAGGCACGATTAAAGATAGCCTTTGGCCTGGACTGATAATGACCCAGAACAGCAAATGAAGAGGAAAACAAGATTGAGGGGGGTGGAAATCTCTTTCGTGTTTTGTTTAATTCAGCAACTTACAGGGCAAGACTAATTAGTGGTTTTAACTGTTTTGACACAAGCAGCCCCAATAATCATGATAAATCATATCAGGCATATGCCCAGATCCTTGAAGTGACAGATGACAAAACAGAGTAGTGACAAGATGCTCTATCATGCAGGGAATCATTGAGTTAATGGAAGAATTATTGCTTTTGAAATCCACTCCAGTCCTATTGTGGGGAACATTCCAATTTATCAAAGCCAAATGAACATTAATTGCTGCAGCCTGGTAAGTTTTCGAGCTGCTGTGACCTTCATTGAATTTTAATCCAAAACAGATAAGATTTACTTCCACACAAGAGGAAACAACACAATTAAACCCAAATGACAGCTAAGATTATGGGGAAAAAAACACAACAGGCGTAATGACAAAAATATTGATTCCTTTCTACTTGACACTGCGCAAAAAAAAAAGGGAAATAAATAAAATCCTGCATTTGCATTTTCCCCCCTCTTTCTTTTCATTTGGGAGACAAATTTCAGATGCTCAAGCCAAGACGAAAGGGGTGGCAGACAGTAATGGAGACTGAATTCCCTTTAACTGCGGTAATTAATGTTATGTCTCATTGGGGAGAGATTAGGGAAAAAACAGTGAGGGGGAAAAAAACAAGTATTATTTTGCTATTAAAGATGCCCTTGAGCTGGGGAATGTTGCTAGAAGTTTGAATCGGGTAATTGTTGCACTGTATCCATGGCTTTTACAACAATGACTCCAATGCACTAAAATACCACATACTGCCAAGTCCATCCCCTGCAACAATTTGTAACCTTACAGGCACTGTTTCATGCTCATTTCTTCTTGTTGAGTACATCGCCCTCTTCCCCGTTACTGCCAGATCTCAGAACTGAACTGGATCTTCCCTCCACCCAAACCCTGCAAGGAAGTAGCCCACTGTAAACATTGAACACAATTAGCTCAACTTGGAGAATAAAAGCATTCCCCACTGTTTCACTGCATTAACAAAATATTTTTTTCAAAACCACCCTCTCCCCCCACACGCGTGAGCATCAGAAGAATCTAACGGAAGTATAAAGGCAAAATTAAATGTGAAAGATGCCAAGAGTGGTTAATTTGAGGTATGATTCAATCATTTCTGCAGCTCATTTGCTCTTCATCCTTGCACCCTCCCTTGCAACGTACGCCGTTCCCCAGCTCAGATCTGCACTGCAGCATTACAGAAGTTCCCCTTGCTGTCTTACTTCAGTTCTGCACTGCAGTGCTTGAAGTTTGAACTTGGAGCACCAGTTTTACCCCATATTTCACACCTGTTACACCCAAAACGTGCCAAACCTGAAACTCCTAGTTGCCACTGACCCCGCCTCTGGAACCTAGCCTTTATGCTGCTGTCCCAATGCAATGAACACTTCAGCTTTAGAGGGAGAGAACAGGTTACTAGAAAGCCATGCATAGACTTTACCAAGGATACATATTCTAAATAAAGCTTTCCTAAGGTAGAGTTTTAGGTTGCAATAATACGCTCATCCACTGAAATTTCACCAGAAGACTCCAGTCCCCAAGTCAGAAAATACAGAAAGCCCACAAGTAAACTGGACCTTGACATACTGTAATTTAACTGAACATATGGATGCAGATAAAGTGTTATGGCTATTTAAATTAGACTGAAAGAAATATACAGCCTACACATGACAAATCTCTCTTTCACACAGAGGACAAAAGGGAAGATCCTAGCCCTCTCTAGGCTTGGTAAATAGGATCCACAAATAGGACATGTAGGGTAGGTAGAGTCAGAGTAGCTATTTAGCTGGAAACAACTTCTGGCCAGTGTTAACATGTTTCTAGTCTGCGTGGAGAAGATGGATAAGGAAAACTGGGGTCTGCGGCACAGAGTGAAATGAGAGCAGAAAGGATGCAGAAGAACCCTGAAGAGGTAAGAAGGACACCATCATTTCAGCTCCAGGAACAAGGTAGCATAAGTGACGGAGCCATGCACAGGAAACAAAAGGTTAGCAGTTACCAAGTACATCAAACTGGGCGTAATGTTTTAGCTTGTCCCACATGTAGCAAAAAATTGGATGACACAGAAGACAGAGCATGGGACAGTAAAGCAAAGCAACATCTCTGGGAGAAGTAGGAGAGATACAACATGTCTGTCAGGTTGTTTCAGAGATATAGGCTTAGGGTAAACCAGGGGAGGCGTGCCAAAGGCTAACTGAACAAACTCAGACACTCAGATGAAAAAGCTCATTTAAAACCAGTTTTACCTAATTGTAAAACCAGGATTTACACATAATTCAGAGGCCAAAACTGCCCCCCCCGCCGCCTTTGTTAGCTCAAAATTGGGCCTAACTTCACTTAAAATGAATGACTTCAACAGAGAACAGGGAAGAATTGCAAATTTGTAACGAAGCTCCCAACTTGCTGAGACAGTTTTCACACAACTTTTCACAGACCCTAAAAGCTATTCCACACAGGGAACACATCAGGATCAGACCTGTGCTCCCCTCCACTTCAGCCTCCGACCTTCCACAATGACTACAATTCAGCCACTTTGGAAGAAGGTGAAAGCGTGGCACAATTTGTGCATACGGGCATTTCTTACTCTCTCCCTCACTGGTCTGTAGTTGGTATATGTCCCGAACCACAAGCATTCATACTCCTCCTAGGAAAGTTGTGCCATTTAATCTGGCTGTAAATGTTCTCATTGCCCACATAAATGCTTAATTATTTTGACCCAGAATACCACAAGACTGTAGCAATGAAATTTACCCATGAGGGGCAGGGCACATTGCCTTCCACTTCTATTAACTAAGCTCTTGTTTTTTCTATTATGAGAAGCACGTAATAGGAGAGCTGATGGACTTTTTTTATTAAACAGTTTTCCATCTGAAAATGCCGATTTATCACAACTGAAAGTTTTTGCAAAAAAAAAAAAAGTCTCAAGTTGAATAAGAAGGTTTTTCATATCAAGGATGCCACTTCTAGTTAAACCAAAGGTAACTCTGCATGTTAGGTGATAACTTTATCTACCAACCCTTAGACATGCACTCTCTCTCTGAGATGCAATGAATATTTTATTATTAATAATTAGTAAATAATTACTATTACGTTATTTATGAAAAATGAAATAGTTTCAACAGATGTGGCGGACCTTTCAGGAGTAAGTCTCTCTCAGTGGCTGCCCAAATCAATCCAAGTATCTGGCGCTCTGCACCTTCCAAGTGAATGCCTTACCTGCAGTGGATATAGGTGGTTGCCATGTTGGTCTAAAAAGCAGAGGCAGGGAAAACTACAATGGCAACACTATACTGGGGTTTCTGTTTTTCACATACTTCATCTTCATGTGAAGTTTGAGATGATCTTGGATTTCTTTTCAGTGCAGTTCAATTCCTATCTCTATCACAGACTTTATTTGGGCAGTTAAGTTGCATTGGGTGCATCTGCACGTGCCATTAAGGTGATGTGGTAAATTCTGGCACAGTTTGCACCGGAGTTGGCTGCTCCCGGGTGCAGTATCTGCATATGCACCCGGGACTGCGGTGGTTTGAGCTGGGGTGGAGTAGCATAGGGCTGGCAGGAAACCCAAGGGATCAGCTCCAGGCTCTGGGTGGTGGCATTGTGCAGCAGAGGGGCTTGTTGGGGCATAAGAGTGCTAAAGTGCAGGGCTAGGTGGCAGACAGACCCCACACTTTACAACCCTTGTGCCCCAGCCAGCCCGTCACTGTCTACATGTGCCTTTTGGCAGAGTAAATTACTCCACTGTAGGATAGTACTGTCCCCAACTATACTGTCCTACAGTGGAGTGAATTAGTTTACTGCATCTTAATACCAGTGCATGTGTAGGCTGTGACGCTTTACTGCGAAGCCAATTAGTCAATTGAGTAAAGTACACGTATAGATGCACGCACTGTCTCTTTGTGACTCAGTTCTTCATCTCTGAACAGAATAACAGCAATCTCCCCACATCACAGGGTGCTGTGAATTTAACCACACTATAAGTTGTGAACTGCTCAGTGTAAGAAGGGACATATCAGTAACTTAAATGAATAGATTGAAAGGGCACAGAAGACAGGAGATGAATTTGAAGAACACTGCAAGATCAGATTTTTGCTTCTCATAGAACAAAATAAACGTTTTGTCCATAGTTAACACTCTAATGGGTAGAAATAATCTTAAAAAATACTGACATTAACATTAATCTCTGTGTACATGGGTCAGACATCTGTAACACTAGGAATTATTATAGTGACACCACCTGAGATTTCTATATACTGTAAATGCGAAACAGAGGCAGTGGTAGCACCGGTTTCCATGCTCTTTCCTCTTGGCATAGATCTGACCTCCCTTGGAGAGAATACCGTTAAACATAACCGCATTCAATCCTCTTCCTTCCTGTGCTGAGGCTCTACAAGGATGATAATCAGAAGCGCTGTCATGCTTTTGGGATAGACACATTTACAAACTGGAAACTCATCTTAGACTCACCAGCTTACCATCCATCAACACCACCCTCTCACTTCAATCTGGCTGCCAGCTGGAGTTCCCTCCCAGTTGGTTCTTCTTGCCCCTAGAATCAGTAGGTTCACCAGAAAAAGGAGATTTTACTTACCATGACAGAGATGTGAAGAATGTGCATCTGTTCCTCCACTATCTCCGAAGGCTCTTGGAGGGTGGGCGGCGTAACCCGGGACAGCTGCTCAGCACTGTTCATGGAAACGTGGAAATAAAGGGTACCGTTCTCCAGCCATTGCTGCTTCCAGTGCACCAAGGAAATGTCAGCTACAGTCCCAGACATCTCTGCAACAACAAACACACCCCGGCAATTAAACTTCCTGCACTCACAAAGGGACTGCACTCAAATGCAAGTCTCATGACAATATGTGTAGCCTTCCAAGTGAACTGAACAAGGATCTAAGAGCCAGGACAACTCGGTCCCCTCCTCATCACTCCATTTGACTTACAGAGAGACCCTAGGAAAGGCAATTTGCCTCTGTCCCTCATTTCCCCCGCATACAGAATGGAAGTACTGTCCCTACTTCCCAAAGGACTGTGTACACTTAATTACTGGCTATTAAGTGTTTTGAGATCTTTGGAAGAGAAGTGCAACAGAAAGCCCAAGCAGAGCTCCATCTTTTCTATATGGCTAAGTAACATAAACCCAATCTTTTTAGACAGCTAGAAGACGACACAAAGTGTGTGTGTTTGTGCATACGTGCATGCGTGCACATACACACAATTAGGATTTGCAATGAAAGAAAGAGGACTTCGTCCCCAAGAGGCAAGGTGCCCCATGCAGTAAACTCATAACAAATATCTCCAAGGGATCAGAGATGCAATCCTAGCAGAGATTTTGCTGTCAGTCAAAAGAGGAGCCAAAGACATCTCCTGATTTGACGTAGAAGCCAGAAAAGCAGAGATCAACCCGCACTCATCTGGCAATTACAAAAAACAAACACTTTTCCATTGCTACCTTACTGCCACTGCAATTATGTTCAGTGCTGAAAATAGCCCCGGTCCCAGCATGGCAACTAAATACACAAAAGTAATACCAGCAGGAGGCAACTGAATGCAAGCTCCCACCAAGCAGGGAAGATGCTGCAAAGCATTGCCCATCCTCCTAACCCTTGCAATTGTTTTTTTTTAAGTCTCTCAGCCACGGTGTCACAGTTCCCAGCTCTTGAACCTCACTTTATTCTAACTTCCACTGTAAACAGCCCAGGGCTAGGACTGCCTCTTCAAATCACTCAAAGACACCCCACATGCCTACGGCACCAGAAACAAATCATTAAGGGTTTGGAAATTTCAGACACTTTCTATTCAAAAGCAAAGCCCAAAAACACAGAATCAGTGACAAAACAGAGCCAACAGCTACTGCGCCTCAGCTTCTGTTCAGTTTTACCTGGCAAGCGCAGCATACCACTAAATGGGGGGCTTGAAAGCTCCATCGCTGCCTATCAATCAGTCAGTTCAAATAACTGATTCTTCCACTTGCACCCAAACCAAAAACACCAGGAGAAAAGTCCAGATTGACTAAAAACATTTGTTACTGCTGCTGCTGTTTCTCTGGCACGAAATGCAAAAACGAAACAATTTTGCCTCAGGAAAAACAGAATGTATTGGGAATCTGTAGTGAAAGCAAAGGAAACAAGTGGCATCTTCTACGATAGCTCTCACCGGGACCTGGGCAATAGAGACATAATTCCCTCCTGTGCTTGATGGAGGATTTGGCCCCAACCTCCCTTTCGACACTGCTCCATTCTGTAGACTCTCAGGCAAATGTCTTCCCTACGGGAGGACCAAGTAAAACTGCTGTGGCATTATCACTTCTGCAATTCTAGTTCGATTTGATTTTTTTTTTTCTGCCAGTTGAAACTATTCAAGCAATTTGCATGAAAAAGTGTCTAAACTTGCAATTCTTTTTCTTTACCATTATTATTCAAATAAACTATTTGTCAAATAAATAAATAAAAGCAAACACACACACACACACACACACACACACACACACACACACACACACACACACAACCTCCCTCCCCTGAAAAAACCCCAAAGACAAAACAAAAACCAAAAAACCCTGCCAGGCTTCAGTTCCAAGCAGCAGCAGTGAAAAGAGGAAGTGTTTGGCCAGTCTTGCAGGGTCGTGGTTCAGTAACACCATTAGCAGCTGCTTAGGCTCAAGAATGGAGGTGTCCAATTCACACTGATTTTCATTTGAAGCTCTCCAGCAACCGTAAGGCGAGAAGCTTTCGCACTTTTGCACGTGCTCCGATGTGTTCCGATTAGAACACGGACCAATCAGAATGCCCCAGTGTTTCAAAATGGCAGAAGGTGTGCTTTAACTAAAGCTCGTCAAACAAAGTTTAGTTAAAGTGCCCCGTCACCATTTTGAAATGCAGGATGCTGACTGCATGAGACGCTGCGGGTGTTTTAATTCGAGTGGCTCCCAAGAGTCGCTGTACTTAAATGAACCCCTTTCCTCCCCCACCCCACCACCCTAAAGCATGTGTATAGGCATCCTTTAATTTCTACAGTGAGCAATGGATCAAGGCCCCACCATTCAGCAAATAAACTTCTCTACTCTTCAGGGGAGAAATGGATTTTTTCCAGCCCCAAAAGCAGCATGAGCTCTGTACCAAGGGAGACTGGCCCTCACAACTCCTTTTATCATTGGTTTAAACCAAGAGAGTGATTCCTTGCTCACAGAGGCGAAAGCAGAATCCTTTCCAAGGAACTAAATTTACCTGTCAGTCAGGCTTCTCCTGCCCCATGGCTGGCTGCATCCCTGGCTGCAGCCCAGCTGACAGCAGAGGCAAGGTTAGGCCATTATTGCAAACTCCTGTGCTCAGCACCTCACTAATTATTCTATCGACAAATCCAAAACAATGGCACTGTCACTGGAATCTAATTGGAAGGCAACTAGTTCCCCACAGCACTCGTTATCTCTCCCTTATACACACAACAGCAGCTAGTTTTCCCAATCACTATTCCACGGCACATCCCAGCACTTAGAAAAAATAAACTCCTGACCAAGCGCAGAATACGTAAGAGGCCAGACTTGCCCCTCAGAGGAGATGCATGAATTCACTGTCATGCCTCTGCCACCAGAATGGGTTTTCTGCTCATAACCCCTTTGCCTCCTGTAATATAAATAGCCATTTTCAGAAGCAAGCTCAAGCAACGGTGCCCCTTGCATTCACCCCCAGCTAAATCAAAAATTGACCCCAGAGCTAATGCTCAAGGACGCATAGTGAGGTAAAGCCTGAGACAGTCTCTAATAAAACAACAGCACCGTGTTCTTATAGAACTTCCTTCATCCTCGTAAGTGCCTCCAACAGAAGGAGTTTGCTTCTCCCATAGGTAGCCAGTTCCCTTTGGAACGAGCATAGCCTGATACTCCTTTAAAGGCAGGAAATGAAGAACAACCCCACGTCTATATAAAACTGCAGGAAGAGCTCAGGGAAACAAAGCTATTATGCAGCAGCAGTATTAGAACCCACCTGAGTCAAGCTCAAGCTCAGAGAAGATGCCATGCACTCACTCACTAAGTAGAAACACAGTTGAATATTTGAAAGGCAGGACCTCCATCTGCCCAGAGCCACCCTGATGCCATTCCATGACCCGAAAGGAAAGCATTATTTACAAGATCCACATGTACCTCTTGCAGCACAACAAGCCTTTCCAAGCAAGCTCAGGTAAGAAGACTCTGTCCAAGCATTTTTCTATGTAAGGACAATGATGAAGAATCTGTGCCTATGCCTCCTGGAACCCAATGCTAAGGTGTAAGGGCCTTTGCCTTCTGTTAAGGAAGCACAGAAGTGACTCCAGAATCAACTTTTACCTAGACTGTCTCTGTCTCCTGGACTTCTGCATGCCATGACTCAAGGTCAGAGCTGTGCATTTTGGGGAAGTTGGGAGGTTAGCTGAAATACAAGACTCCACAATAATGAGGCAAACTCCTGAAAAAAGGAAACAGGGCCTTTTGTAAAAGTTTCCTCCCAAAATGTCTTAAGCCTGGAACTTTTAGTTGATGTTTTATTGCACCGTTTCAGTAAAAATCGAATCCTGAGACAATTTCTGATAAAGATCAGACACAAAGTGCCACTTACCACAAATGCATAAACCTTTGAGCAGCTTGTTATGCTTCAGCAGCCCCAGTGTCCCTACAAAATATGAAGGCCATAGAAGCTTCCTGCCCCACGGCTTTGCTGGAAAACCTGCTACTTCCATCAGATGAGTTGCTCCAGTAAAAACAGATTACAGACTGCGAGAACAGAGGCATTTGGAGCTGAAGCCCTGGGCTGTATGAGTGCTGGCAAGTTTTCCAGCTCCATATTTGAGTGTAATACTATGCTGTCCTGTGTTTCAGTGAACTCATATCATCTTTACACTATCTACATTGTAGTTACAGCAAACTATATATATATGTTGTCCATCAGAGAGTGTAATAGCCTGCACCATGATTGCCTGTTATCAAAGCTTTCAAATACTTTCTGAACAAATTAACGGCATTTCAGCACTGAAGAGAATAAAATACTGCTAAGGCTTTGAACGGGCAGTAATGAAAAAGCATTAAGAGTCCACAGGTACTTAAAAAGAGTGTCTAGAAGACAGAAGAGTCTTAGCCTAGGTTCAAACATGTCTTTAAATTCTATCCTAACGCAACTGAGTGCATGACAAAACACCACTGGCACTAGCAAGGGAGACTTGCTGGCAGGCTGCCTCTGCCATTTCCTTTTCCTCCCCTGCCTGATTACATACCAAGCAGCTCCCACAAGAGAATGGAGTCTCAGTCTGGAAAGACAGTGGGCTTCACATGCACTTCATATCTCCTAAAGATACAATGGAGGATTCCTCTGTTATTCCCTACCACCTAATAGACTCCCAAAACCAACTAGCCAACCGTGCATTCACTGCCTTCCAAGGTAGGAAAAGTAAAGGGAGTATGTTATTCAGGGTTAGCAGGGATATGCCTTTTCTCTCTCTACACTCAGCCTCCTTGCATGCACTCTATGCTTTTCCCTTCTTGTGCCTTTCATGCAGGGTATCTGGGA